CTCCATTCTTTTGGTAATCTTGCCCTCTCGATACTTGCATTGAAAAGATTCCAACAGACTAAACCCAGGTGCCCTTCATTTTGTAAATTGATATAACCCTCTAACCAAGCTCCCTTTTCCGGTTTGAAGAGTAGAAACTCAGCAGTCACCCAAGCCCAACTGACCGCATATTCGTCCAAGTTTTGCAAAAGAGTAGAATCTCCATCGTTGCCAAAGGCTTTTTCGGCAAATCGTGGGTTGCTGTAGGAAAGAATAACTCCATTGAATGGAGGATAATATGTGAGAATGAGTGGGGAAAGATGTTCGGCGCATAAACCCTCGAGAGGGAATTTCTGAGATACTGGTGCTAAGGGCAAAAAGATGGAAGATGTCTGTAGATGGAATGGGGATACTTCAGCTGGTGGGTGTATCGAGGAGGAACTTAGTGTGGCCGTCTTTTCGGATCTGTGTTTCTTCGATCGATGCCCTTCTTCCCCATTCTCACGTTTTCGTTTTTTCTCGCTATCTGTTGATTTATGCTTCTTTTCCGACTTGCTCTTGTGCTTCTTGGGAGAAACCCCAGCGATTGTTGATTGTGAAGGCATTTCAATTGACATTTTGATATTATCAACTTTCAAGGCTATCGATTTTTTTCGTGAACGTCTCCCCCAGAAACTTTTACTGCGGCCGCTAGCGTGCTCCGATAAGATAAGCCTTTTGTCACAAACAAAGGATAAGTGGCTTCACTCTTGCCGTTTGGGATACATTTCCGATATTTGACATCTTCACAAGGGATTACTGTTTTCTCTTCTTTTACAAGTTCATGTTCTACATATCCTGAAAATACATTAACGGAGACGGTAGAGGACTAAGAGATGTCTAATAATCTTCTTTCTTTAGCTGGTTGGACCTTCCTCCCTAATGTAAGTTATCCCCTAACACAACCATGCAATTCATATAATGCTTCCTAACACGACTCTCTAGTTAGTTACAGGTTGGGTCCAAACTTTATGGTACGGACTGACAATACGTGCTGGCGATCCAAAACCTCAACCTGGTTCCCCAAAATGGGTCCAACATCGCCGGCGCATAAATATATTAGTCATATCTACATATCTCCTGTACACAATCTACGAGGCCGACTGGGACATTCGCAAAGCAAGAGACTTCTACCAAGATCTGGGTATTCCTCATTCGGCAACTGAACGAGAAATCAAATCGAGATTCAGGCGGCTAGCAGCCATTCATCATCCTGACAAAGTTTCATCATCCTCCCCTTCCTCCGAGGGATACTTTGTCCATCTGAAATTGGCACAAGACACACTTCTTAATCCCGCGAAACGATTCGCATACGAAAGATTTGGACCAGACGTTATAGGGTGGCAACATTGTTCAACAATCAGAGACTACCTTGCCCATGGTATGCAGACGATCGGGCCTTATTACGGCATCGCTGGGATATTCATGTACGGGTTGAGTCTTGCTGGCTATCTAGACTGGGGCAAATACTGGCGCTGGATCACTATAACCATGCTATGCGTATTTGAACTGCACACGGTTTCGCGTCCATACTTCCCCGTTATTGCAACGAACATCCTAAATCCAATCCTCACGAAATTCACATCACATCCGCCATATCTTCCATTCCAATTAATACAACTTGCTCGGAAAGCGAGTCTCACATTATACATTGCGTTTTCCCAGCTTGGCCCATTATTACAACAACCCACAGCTCCACAAAACGGAAACCCAGAAACTGTGCTGAAGCAGCAACTTGATCGATTAGAACAAGTTGCAAAAGCTGCAGAGGTCGATGCGTCTCGACTTCACGCATTAGAAATGATTCCGTTCGCCAATGATCCACAGGCGATGAATGATGTAAAGGGGAAAGTCAAAGAATGGCTTGTACAAAACACTATAAGGTCCGATCCGGAGGTGAGAGATGCAATGGGGACTGTATTGAAACGTAGAAGAACGGATGCCCCAGCCGGCGCAAGGGGTAATCGATAAACTCATATCGGGCTGATGTTTAGCTAGTAAATAAATTTCACGGTACATTTTTTCAACCCGGGTCCACAATAGTTTCGAGTGCCATCTTGTTCTTACATACATTTCCAGATGATTTCTTTTCTTTCTTAAACTTTCCAAGTTGAGCCGGAATACCACCTTCTTTTTCTCAACATCGGCGGCCGAGATGCCCCTTCCTACTCAAGCGAGTGGATCATCTGCAAATTATGCATTTCTACCCCCTTGCCTCATCATCTAATGATTCCGTTTTGTTGCACATCTACTCAAGCCGCACCTACATTAGGTCTTCATTACATGGCTTTATATGACTGCCACGTTTTTTTCCATGTCGATAAAGGGCACCTATCACTCGGTATGTTGGCAATTTGTTGCACATCGTAACAGGGACAAGGGCCGTCCCGTTGTTACTTTAGTCGCATATGCCGGTAGGCTTGCTTTGTTTTAAGTGAGACGATCTGTCCTATTTTTGTTGTTGCTTGTCTACCTCTGCCGTGTCCACGTGGCTAGATACCCCTGTGCTTAAATCTCGCTTGAGAATGATGTCGTTGTACTAGTTTATTTTCTTGACTTTGGTATCGTGGTTTCGGATTTGTGCGTTGTCTTTTTGTTGACAGGGGAACAAACCCCAGAATAGGTTTTTTTGATGTATGCCTGCCCCCGTGTTTAAATATCTTGAACTGTCTTCAGTGAAAATAAGACTAGGTGCCGACTGTTTAAAGTGTTGAGTTCCTCCACTGCTACAGTTGCAATCGTTTCTTATTCGATAGGGCTCTTAGCGATTTCCAGTTCAATTGAGCCAGGTGGTGAGCTTGATTAACATTATGCCCATCACTTCCCGTCCACACAGATGCATTTCTATCATCTATATGTATCAAATGGAATCCACAAATTGATTTCAATCAGATCTTGGCCTTTCCTGCTAGTATTGTAGACACTCGAAGGTATGGCTAATCCAATATGATATGAATGAAAGTATGAAAGTAGTTAGAACTCCAGCCCAGTTCAGTTCACACTATCTAAAAAAGAACGACAATGCAGTTTGTGGCTAATACTATGCTAGAACCACCGGAAATTCAGTAATCCAATGTTGGAATTTGAATTACAGCCGAAACTTCAACGAGCCCCTTCATTCACAATAATTGTCCCTTGTAATTCATTGACAGGCTAGCAATTCCTGTGTTCTTAGAAACCACTCCCTAAATCCCCACTCAAATCAATCTAATCTACCAAGTTCCTCATCACTTTCTGGTCTTCCCCTCACCCCCAGCCACTGTACCTAGCTCGTTTTCCTCGCTACCTTCTATATCTCCTCCTATGTCCTATGTGGCGCAGGCTTGTTTATCCCCATTCCTCTCGTCTTTGTCCTTTCAAACTATCCGTAAAGACCGGTTCCATAACCGTAAGGCCACTAGATAGATGTCCCGTTTGGCGCAAAACTCCAGGAACTGAGACGTGCACTATATTTACGACCTCGTTGCCTCTCTTGTGAACTCCAATGAGATCAGGAGGACAACAAACAGATTTTTGTTTCAAAGCCACCTTTTCAGTGCTTATGGAGAAAGCAGGTGATTTAGAATTTGGACTGGCTGCGCAGGAGTTCGTAAATCTTAACATAGCATTGAAGTAAACGAGCTTTAAATTTTCAGTGCCAAAACTGATGCGAAATTACTACCAAAGTCCAAACCCTTTACGCGACTCATATCACTATTTTCCCACTCTTAAATATCTCTACATTCGATTCAAGAGAAGAAAAAAGAATTTCGCAAAGTAATACTAATACTAATACCATAACAAAAAATTGTTATATTTCAAACAACGAGATTATTCAATTCAAAGACTAAACGGCAAAGCAGAATACCATTTGATCATCCCTAAAACCTTGAAAGCTAGAAAAGAAAAGACTTTTGTGGTAAGATTACTTCGTAGTAGGTAGTCTTTAGATTTAGAGCTTATTGGTAAGTTGTAAGTAATATCTAGCTGCGGATCTTTGAGATGGGATTGGTGATTCTGAGTGGGTTTATATCGGGTAGGTGATGTATCATGTATGGGGTGATGGAGAGTGGGTGGTTTGGGAGGGATTGTGTGTCTTGTTTTGTATTGTGTTGTGTGGGATTTTTTGATGTATTCACAGAATAAGTAGACATTCACTCTTTGTTAGGCGTCTATATCTGATATTATATCCTCTCACTATAAATCCTATATCTACTCCCCTTTACAGGATACCTTACAATTCTCATTCCCATACCCCATATTTAAAACTCTTAAATCATTCATTTAAGTAACCATTAAAATCCCTATTCTATCCAACTCCCTCGGAATCTCCTCATCCATTCATTCTACCCCAACAAAAATCTAAATATATCTCATCCCATAATATCCACATCAATCCCACAGTCTACATCTACAACCGACTTCGTATGTTCCTCCCGCGCTTCAAGTATCCCGTGTATTCCAGACGATTGGGATTGGATGGTAGAGTATGAGAGTATTATTGGAGTATTCTTTGCGGTATGCGGGTTAGATAGTTTTGTTTATAAAATGAATTGTGAGGAGTGGATTTACAGGTTTTGGGATGAGATATGTACATAAACATATGTTCTGCGATAGACAGTGGTGAGATAATCGAGATCTTTTGACAGATTAGGTGGAATGGTGTATCGTTTGTGGGCGCGGATTATGGAGGGGAAATGTGAGGATTGTGAGGATGGCGATTGATGGTAGAATTATGGTTTACCGAATGTGGAGTAGGTGAATTAGGGGATATCTCATGAACAGTATAGTGCAACAGCAACAGAGTTGATGAGTCTAATACTATGTATGCTTGTGAATCATGAAACAGTATCTCACTTGATCTTTTGGAAATAAGAATAATATATAATTGTACAGGTAATTCAGAGACGTGATTATATACATTATCTTCTATACCAACCTCATGTCATATCTACTATATTCTCGATGGGTATATGGCTTTTCTATACAAAAAAATTAACTTACTATACAATATTCTCCGCACTCATTTTTGTAGCCAGAGGATCATTAGTTGTCGTTAATTGAGGTTTGACCGCCCTTTCTTCTGCAGTCTTCGCATTGGCATCTGTTATTAGACCTCCAGTCCAGATTAAACATGGGACAGCACCAGTCAGACTGAATAATCCCAACGACAAGGACATTGTGCCCCATCCTGCAGAGTCTCGAACATAACCTGCCCAGATTGGACCGATGAGAGTACCAGCCGCAAAAGCAGTGACAAAGAGACCATACGCTTGTGCATATGCTCCGTTCTTTCCAAATCGACCAGGTATCTGCTTCTCCTTGGCTTCAACAATATATGTAATCTCGGCCATCAACCCTGGAATGACACATGTCAAGGAGACACCGATGAGCGCTAGCAGTGCGCAGAGAAGAACTTTCTGGTGCAAGGAATTATACGTGACAAGTCGTAGGAGAATCCAAAAGGGTATCGCAAAACAAAATCCTCCGACACATGGCCAACGTGGGCCATAACGATCACATGCCCAACCGACAACAGGTGCGGCGAAATTAGGAATCATCAAGGCAAGAAAGACCAATCCTGCCCCAACAGAATCCCAGTGAAAAGTCTTTTGGACGAATAGGGGGATAATAGCGTCAAATGATGACATCAGAGATGCTTGAACCACACAACCCCACAGTCCGGCACAGAGCCTTCTGGACCTCAGAAGAGTAAACATTGCAGGCCATTTACTGATCTGTTGGAGACTAGTTGGCGCAGCTTCGGTGGTACCCAAGGGGTTGCTTTGTGCTACCTTCTCCTCGTCCTTGTTTGTAACGTTTTTATTACGTGCATCTGCATCTGCAACAACTGCATCCTCATTACGATTAGGCGAAATTGATAAATCTGAACTGCCGGCAGATGTGGGGACTTCGTCGTCTAACCATTGCCGAGCCATTTTCTTCTCGATCAATACTAAGCGAAGAAGAATATCCAAGACTAATAATCCAAAAGCCATGTAGAAAACGGCATAATATCCAGCTTTCTCATACACAATTCCTCCCAACAAGGGAGCCACCAGAATCCCAAGAGTCATACTCAAGCTCACATAACCTAATATTTCTCCAATTTCGGCTTGTCCAACGGTATCGACCAACAAGGCTAGTCCCACGGTCCACACAATGGCGGCACTCAGCCCTCCGAATATGCGTCCCACAATCAGCAACGCAACCGACTTTGCCAGGCACAACATAACCGTCGAACCAACCATTGCGACCAAGCCTATCAGCAGTGGCAGACGCCTTGATGTTGAGTGGTCGGCGTACCATCCTGAAATCGGGCTTCCAATGAGTAATGCTGCGCCATAAACCGCGAGTAACACAGATACCCAGCTCTGGACCGAAGATTCATGCACACCTGCGCGCTTGGTGAGTGAGAAAGGCACAACCGGTACGATGATTCCGTAAAGAAAGATGTCGGTAAATACTGCGACACATATTGTCGAAAGGATAAATATTTTCGAGGATCGAAATTTCAGTAGACGAGGTGGTGGCGAAGATGGGTCGACTCTCCTGCCTGAGATGAAGTTCTGCAGATGGCCCATATTCTAAGTTGGAAGTCGAAATTCTTTCGAAATAACCTGCGACACCCTGCGCCACCTTCAGTAATGTCTCGCCAAAACGTTACCTATATAGTATATACCCATGGACCTCGTAAGGACTAGCCAAAGTCGCCATCAGGAGAACGAGTCGACGAGTGGTATTCCATTTATTGTTAAACTCCGTACTGTTCTTACGATAACGGAGCTCGCTTACCGCAAAGTTGGAATTTTTTTACGAGGGAACCCTTTTTGTTGGTCCCTTCATCAGGGGTCTGATCCTTTCCAGTTAGTATTCTCACTTAGGTAATCACTTTGTCACGGACTTTAGTGTCACGTGTATTGTACATCGAGTGTTGTGTCGTGAAAAAATCATTGTTTTGGGTGAGTGGACCGAGGAGAAGGGCTTCTCATTGGCCATATAACTGACCGCCGCTATCCTCTACATGTAATTTCCGAGACTGTGACGAGATAGGAAGGTACAACACTTTTCTATGGGGGCCATTAATAATGATCAAGCTTTGGGTTCTCTCAGATGAGTCGGATTACAAGCTCCATGCTAAATCTATGTGACATGAGTCACATGATCTCCTTGGAATCATTCGAATGCTTGCTTGCTGGTTATGGAATTCATCACAACGACATATCATCGGGATCATATTGTGAAGGTCAGTAAGACGGTGAGGTTGACAGCATGAGAAATCTCGCTTTCGAAAATGATGCTATTCACATGTCCATACATCACTAAGTAGAGATGACACTATCGATACCGCTCGGGTACGTTCTGGAAAGCGTTCTGTCAGTTGCGAAAGTGTCCTGGTTTGGACACCAGCGAAGAGCAATTTTCGGATTTCTTTCTCGGAACCCCCTTTTCACCTCTTGAATTCCGAGCTTCTTCTTGGCAATGCAACCCAATCTGGCCGATTATGTTTCGTTCGTTCCAGGTCTGTGTTGATTGTGGGTTTTGGAACAGATACTAGTGTCTTTGATAGCGCGGCTCTTATCATGTCACCGCCTCTTAAACCATTCGATATGATGATCATTTTGAGCCTCAACTTTACCCCACTTTCCCCTGAGTTGCTGATTGCTGATTGCTGATTGCATTGTTTTGTTTCCGTCCCAATCTGATATATTAAACTCATGTTGGTCCTCTTCAACCATTTGAACTTGAGCCTCAACAGATAACTACACATTGTTCCCAACAACTCACATTGATTGTTATATTCCGAAATTGAAGGCACAACCGACATTGGCAGGTATGTAGGTCAAACTCAATCCGTACCGCATATCACTTGGCTAGTGTAACACACTGTCTCTTTCGACTCAGCCTCCATGCTATTCCATGGACATATTTACCCCTGAATTTCCACATGCTAGATGAGGCAACGAGATGCCTCGTGGGTACTTTTACAAAGCCGACATTCCATCGTGTGTGCGTACATGTGTATGTATATGCGTACTATTTTGCATATTCAAGGGCCGTTCACCACAAGACAACGGAAGCGCAATAGACTTGGCCATATGACCTTTTTCGCCTGATTATCGAGGAACATGTAGTCTATCGAATTACGAATCTGGAGATACACGGAACAAGCAGAGCCTCAAAAACAGGGGTGGGACCGTAACCTTACCTATGGATATGCATCTTAGCCGAGAGGATGGATGGATGATCGCCTTATAATGTCAACTAATTATGCCCTTGTTGAATCTGCAACTAACGCCTAGGTGTTGAACCTAATCAATCAAGATCGATGAAATATGAGGCTCTTCTTCTCACAACGTGCGCGATTTTTGTATATTGCTTGTCTGCTTTTGGGATGGCTGCAGTACAATGATAATGTCACTATGATATGAAAGTCCCGAATTTCTCGTATCACTCTTGAGGCTCTTTTGAGCCCGCTCTATAAGTCCACAATGGAACAGCCTCCTTGTAAGCCCGTCAACAGTCTTTTTCCTCCAGATGAAAAAATATCTTTCTTTATTCCGGCCCTTTAATTTTCGTGCGCAACTTGCATGTATGTATCAAATGCCCCATTGTCCTCGGGTCAAAAAGCTAATATCGGTTGTGCAGCTAAAATTCCTAGCGTCTTTGCGGAAATATCTGATGTTTAATCTGCTCTCCCTTCCATATGAAGTTTTATCCAATATTATAACAAACATCAATTTCGACGATGTTTTTAATTTGGGCCTCTCTTGCAAGGCATTGAAGTACCTACTTACCGAGGAAAGCATATGCAGATTAATTGTACAAGTAAGCTACCCGCTCCGTCGTTAACATGACTGTGCGTGCCACGTAGGTGGCTGACAAAGACTGTATAGAACAAGATACCCTTTTGCAATGAAGCGTTGTCAAATAAGCACACTGCTGGTCTTAGTGCATCGACTCTTCGAAGAGTTGCGAAAAGGCGAGAGGCTTTCGCTACGGTCAATCCGTACTCAGTAGCAACGATTGGTTTCGGGGATGCATATCTTTATTGCAAAGGTGTCTTGTGCTATACTCTCGATAACCAACTGAGAGTCTTGAATCTCCATACTTCGGCGTGTCGCGAAGCCGTTGTCAGCATTCCTGAAATGCTGAGTAGTGCTATCACAGAAATTGCTTGCAATACTAAAGGTGTATTCCAGGTGTTGTATTGTTCAGACAGCATAATCTCATGTGTCTACAAAACCTCAGGTCTAGATGCAAATTCGTGGCTTATTGCATTCAGCATTGAGACTAGTGAAGTCCTTGTTGTAAGAGAATTGGACTCTATAGAGAGATTATTTGTTCGCCACGATGGGCAATATCTCTACTATGGTACACATTCGGAATTGGGCTCAGACAATCACAAGAGATGGGTAATACATGGCTTCAATCTTACCGAAAGAGAATGGTTCGATCACAAAATCCGGCTTCCGGATATGGTAGGGTCGGAAATCGGATCAACTGTTTGTTTTGAGCTTAATAACGGCTACTTCTATGCTCTCTCAAATCAGACATCATTTGAAGTTGAGGAGATAGACTGGACTTCATTCTATCATTGCATCAGATTCCCTCTCGCTTCCCCTTGTGAAGAGTTGACCGAGAGAACTAAGAATCAAAGTATGTGGCGGCGTCAACATGAAGAAGGTCCCATTGATGACCGATGGACTAATCTTCGACTTGATATGGATGAGAATACCGGAGAACTCAGAATTATTGAATCTCGAAAGGAGTGGTATCATGGAGCAAGTAGAAGTCAGCACACTTACTATACTACCCCTATTATTTTCCCGTCAAAATTCGATGACATGGATGATGATCTATATTTTGGCACCGAAATCTCTTCTTCAGAAGCAACAGCGTCGTACTCTGATGTTTCAGCTGGCCCTTCTTCATCAGCAAATACACAATCAAGTACCTCGGAAGATTGCAACAACTACAATGACCGCGATCTAAGCGCTTACCCCGACGACCCTCTTCTACGACTACTTGTGAAAGACGATAATCCGAATTATATGCCTTCGCAAAAGAGACTCCCGCAATTCGTCCATGCAGGCTACGATGGATCTTCTAATCAGACATTCACACTTGCCAAATCCCGGATACGATATTACGACTCTTCTTCGTCAACATTTCTTGACATCGTGGATGATCCTCTTCCCACCGACTGGCAAGGAAAACAAAGATTACGACTTCGCGCCGGATCCCGGACAATCGGTCCACCTCTTGTTTACCCTCCGGATCACCCCTCTAAAGCTGGACTATTGTGCTCACTATCTGACGCTGAAGACGCCCTGAGCCAAATGTACAAGCAATCAGATATTACGTACTGGCCCCCAGCGCAGGATCCGGAAGTAGCGAACGAAGCCTTGGACGAGCTGTACAAGCTACTAAATCCGCCCACTCATCTCGGTAACGTGGAAGGCACTGCCGATGAGAGAAGTCTAGTGTATGTTACAGGGGGTTATGATAGTCCTCAGGCTATTATTTTTGTGAGTTTCGATCCGGCAATCAAGTTGGCGGGGCTGAAGAAATGGGGTGGGATGAGAAAGAAGGGAGTGGGCGAGGGGCCGCATATTGATGGGAGGGCTACTGGTCATACGTTTGATGTGAATGCACAGCTGGAAGATGCGGATCCGCACGATCCTCAGATGATGCACAGGGATGTAATGGAGGCAGATATGACAGTTGGAATTGATCGAAAAGGAAAGGGCAAGGAAAAGAAAACGGATACGGAAAAGTACTCACACTCGACGGTAGTAGCCGGAGCTGCTGATGCAAGTGGTCAAACAAATCTCAACATACACGAAATGGCCGATTCTTCCACTGCAAAAGCATCATGGATCTGGCACGAGAAAGCCATGTATCAAGATATCGGGCTCGGATACTATTTCGGAAAGAATCGAAAACCGGCAATCGTTAACGGTGGGTAAAAGGGAAGGCACACTCTTTTTACTTCTTAGTTTATATCTAGGGCGTATATTGCAGCGTATATCATTCTTGATACATATATATCTAATGCACATTCCTATTTCGATAACTATACATACCAAATCAAATCATGTTCCAACGCATATCGGATTCGGACATGCATCTCGGTGAATGTATGTATGTATGAATTTATGTATGAACGTTGAGTGAGGGGTAAAAACTACGTTTCTTCAATAGCACGCGGCGGGTATATATATTAGCACCGATACAACAATACCATAGCATTGCATATGTACCGGGCGAGGCAAACAGGACTAGGTGGTATTGTGATGCGGGGGGGGGTGTTTCAGATCTATTTGTTTAGTGTGTATGGAGGGAGGGAGATGTGTATATTGCTAACTAGGTAACTAGCTAACTAGGTAATTAAAGTATTCCATCATACCCCTCCTCCTCTCTTCCTTCCCTTCTCCACTTTCGTCAGGTGCAATGTCCAATGTCAATGTTAATGTCAATGTTAATATATCAATCATGCATATATATGGATACAGCCTAGTCATACACACCACACACCACACACCATCCATCCATGCAGGCATACTCAATTCTATTCCAT